CTCTATAGCACCGTGAAACGCTAGCAGCTCAGTGGTACCTCTGCTTCTATTTAAGCTTGTGTATGTACATTCAAATCTCAGTAGGCAGAAGTTCGAAAGGCAACAAGCAAAATAATGGCCAGCACTGTTGGCAGCTGAGTTCAGTGTAGCAACCCATTCAATTTCAACCTGGTTCCTGGTGTGCGTGGAAGCAAAGAAACAAAAAAACAGTAAAGGAAAACGGAAGACACTAAACACTAGACTAATAACCCAGTATAAACACAAGTCAATTGGAATCCGTGAGACCAATCTATCATACAGTACACAAGATCCTAAAGATGACAGATAAACCGAGCTCTAATGATATGTTTAACACAAGTCAAAACATCTGCAACAAGGGGACATGGGGCTCAAGCTCGGAAGAGAGAAGGTGAACAGAAAGTTTTGATTTGACCGGGGTTACATAGTTTGTTTCACCAAATTCAAGTGTGAATTAACTTAGATCTCTATGTGGCAAAGATGTTGATTGACGGGTATAAGAGAGAGAGGGTTTTAGGGCAATGTTTCTCCCCTACTTTGGATCAGGCAAACGGACATCAATGGCCTTTTCCAGTGCTGCACAATCCTATGTTCCCTCATCTTGCTCCACATGCTTCTTGGAAGGTTCAGGTAAATCCACTGCAATGGAATCAATGTCCTTTCCAAAGTTTTACTCCGTTGTGTGGCTTAGAGACACCTTGGGACGTCCTCCCGACGTGAAAGGCGCTATACAAATGTAATTTTGTACTGTATTAGATATTTTTAAAAAATGACCTCCAGGAACAAGTTGACTGGAATCTGAATCAGATGAGACTATAAACCAAGATTCTGTCTTCCTGTTCAGGTGTACGCGAAAAGATCCAATAGTACTACCCGAAAAGAGAAGGATGCTTTTCCACCGGTTTCCTGGCCATCAATTCCCCAGATAAAACTGGTTATTCATTTCATAGGATGGATGGTCAATGTCCATTGTAAAATAAGGGGGAAAAAAAACTTATAGCAGCAACGGATTATTTTACCGACTGGTCAGATGGACCGCAATGGTCCTTTCTAGCTCCATACGTCCCTATCTATGCTTTCTGAGAGGAACATCACACATTGTTTACTAACACTGACTGACAATTGTTGAAAATGTTAGCAAGTCTCATTTGGGATGGAACTAATAATGGCTCTAAAACTGGTTAGAGGGCAGAGGCTGCTGCGTTAAACCAGAAAATGGCAACCACTGGAAATTTGAACCCCCTCCCCATTAAAACACTGGACAAGCATAGTAAACGTAACTCTCCCCCCTCCCTCACCCCACAGGACCCAGGAATGAGCAGCTCCATCTGAGAAATAAAGTCAAGAGACTTGAAAAGAAATGGGATGCGCACAGTCCCCTGTGAAAAATAAAGATTACACGTGGAAACGTGCAAATATGTGTAGTTAGTTGCCCGGATCATTGAGTATCAGAAAGACTGGGCATCGTTTTGGGAGAGAATCTGAATCAGAATGTGATTTTCGCTGGGTGGGAGAGAAAGAAAGATGGGGAGGGGGTGGTTATGTTTTGGAGGAAGAACCTTTCTGCTTAATTGCAAGAAACAACCTCCTCTGAAAGCTCAGCTCTGCCCGCACAGGGAGCTTCACCCATTTACTCAAGCAGATGTTTGCAGGGCTAACTGCTGCATTGCGGTTTTCAATAATTCTTTCATTGAGGAATAGATTCAATCAGCCACGCAATAGAAGGAGGAGAGGGTTAAATCCTGTCTCTTTCCTGCAAGGTGGGGAGGGTGTCGCCTGCTCCAGGGTAAACAACCTTTCTGGATATCGCTCCTCTGCACTTCCCACAGCAGCACTGATGAGACGGGTCAACACAAGAGGCGCACGCAAAGAGGTACTTGACTCCTCGCATGCCCTCCTCACTGGCCTCTCACATTCACATCATCTCACATCCAGCTCACCCAAACATTCGGCGCCTGCATCCTTACCCACGCAAAACTTGGCTTCCTTCACCTCCCATCACCACCTAATAAAATCCAATCACTCCACGTCACAGTAAAAGCTGTGAAGTACTTTGAGACATCCTCCTAATTATTATTCAAGAACAAGTGAACTCCTGATAACTCGACCCTGGATTAACTTGTCAATACCACTTAAGTCATCATACTATCAATATTCCAGCCATATCTATTTATGTGCTTATACATGTGCCTAACTCGTTACTCCAGATAACTTGTCACTGAGCCTGTTCCCCCAGGAGTGATGAGTTATCAGGAGACTATAAATACAAGTTATTGCTGTTGGTTGGCAAGGCAAATAAAATGGGCAGAAAGTTAAGTGACAAAGACAACAAAAGGGTTTCAGTGCCCTTCATTTTGGGTCATTCCCACACAAATCTAGTAATAAAGCAGATGTGGAGCCAGTCTTACTTGGTGCATGAGAATAATAGGATTTCCACAAAAAGGACACAATGGTGGAAGAGAAGAAAATGCACTGACTGTGTTCTTTGGAAAACAAGCATTTCTGAGGGAATTCAGAGCTGTCCAGCTTTAAAGTGTGAGAAGGGACTGAGGTCTCAAAATGACTACCTCACCCAGCCATCATTCTTGTTTTTGATTCCAGTCCGATTTCCTTGTGGAAATTAAAATTTGCAAGCAACAGTTAGAATCGCAAGGAAATATTTGCTGCCTCTGAAAAATATTAAATTTTTGAGCGCTTGGTTCGAGTCCACGGGGAATTCTTTCACTCAATTAACTTCCAACTCCCTACAGTAATCGATCCACCAGCAGAGATTCTCATTTATATCTTCTTCATTCCAAGGTTGAAATGCAATGAATTAGATTAGTGTTTAGTTACTGTGTTGACACACCCTCCCTGCAATGTTTGACTTTTTCCCCTTTGAGACAATCGGTGGCACTAACACTCCCAACAATAAGATACTGTTTGCGCTGAGTAAAAAACTACCACACAGTACTAGGTAGGCCAGCATCAGAAACAATGTCAAATAATGATTCCCCCGCCCACATTTTAAACCCTAGTTAAACCTCCATTGTTTTTTTAAAAAAAATTAAAAACCACTCAATGCACTACAAACAATTCAGAAGCAAAAGTTTAACTTGAAGGACTCTGGGGTGAAAACTGCAGCAAGCAGTATTTAGAACAACAGAGAAAATTCCAACCTGCACTCTCTCCCCATCCCAGCACCCAAACACAACACACTCTCCCCCACTGTGAGTTAAGTGTCGAACACCTGCTTGGCAAATTGTTACCGTAGCACAGGTGAGACCAGCGCTCTGGGATGCTACCCTGTGTGAAGGACACTATATAAATACAAATTGTTGTTGTTGACTCCTGGCACGAACTGTCCTCTACATTTCCTACAAAAGAATTAAATGAGAAGGAAACCAATGGACAAGCTACTCTTTTTGTGGGACTCCTAAAATGAGCTTCCAGGTGATGGAATCTACGGTTCGGACAGTTATGAATTTGCGTACTTTTTACCACCCATCTTTTATTTCTTCACCCCCAACCCACTTCGGATTTTCCAAAATTTGCACGTACCTTTGCCAGCCTCCCATTGTCCACTGTGATCGGGTCACAGCATACGCACTGTAGGAATGTCACAACTCGGCACGCGGACAGCACTTCATGCTTCTTCCCAATCTGTTCCAAACACAGAATGTTCACTGCTTGAACTTTCAGCGAAGTTCAGACTGAACATGAGCTGTTTACAGTCCAGACTCTTTTTACAGAGGAGAGAGAGGGAGACGCACACATACACCGAGTTTGCATTTTTACGTAAAGATGAGGTAAGCACATTTTGGCAAACTGGAACCACAGCTGAACTTGGGTTAGTTGGCAATGGGTTTCTTTTTGGCAATGATTTTTTTTTCCGAGGTGCCATATTCCACTATGAGCTGAAGCGCCTCAGGGAACTTTCCGTAATATCACTGGAATAACAAGTTCAAGTTGTCCTTATTTATTTTTTCTTTCTCTTATCATTTGTTTTAAAACATAAAGAAAAAAATTACATCAAAGCTGGTACGCTCCTATAAGTCGTAAAATGTTAGTTAGCTTTTTACACTTGTTCGTGGTTTGGCACAGTTTGTTTTTTGCAAGTAGTGCACTGTGTGATCGTAACATCATCATCCTCATCAACGGTGAATATAAAGGAGCTCTACGGCTCTTTGGAGTGTAGAGCCTTGCAGTCTTTAACTAAAACCTACTTTTATCCTGTAAGATGCACAATAGTAATCACGTCTCTCTCGCTCTCTCTCTGGATTTTTTTTTCCCCCTCACTTCCCCATCGTTTTCCATTTTGTTTGATCACTGACAAGGCCTCTGAAATAACATCTTCTTGTTTTTTTTCCTTTTTTTGCGTAAACATGATCCGAAGTACACTAAAAACAAAAGCGCTAAAGAAAAGTGGGGTGGTTTTTTTGTGTGTGGCCAAGTAAGAAATTAATCTTCTTCAAACATTGGGAAAACCCTCAAAAAAGGCCCCTTTTTTGCTTTATATTATTTTTATACATAGAAAAAATTACAAGCAGCTCTGCCCTTCTGCAAGGAAAACAAATCAATTCATCCTGTGGTTCAAGGAGTATTCTTTTTTTTTTGCAGAAACTGTAGAAAAGTGTTTTTTTTTTAAAAAGAGAAGTGAAAAAGCAGGTGCTAAAATAACCATCGGTAACCGAACCACAGTCAAGCCAAAACAAAAAGACTACAGCTTTTAATACTATTATTAGTGGGGGGAGAGGGGGTTGTCGTTCGAAGAAGGATTTGTTTTTCCATGCAAAAAAATCATTCCTTTGAAATGGGGATGGGAGAGAGGGAAGGTGGGGAGCAGAGGGGGGGTGGGGTGGTGGTGGTGTGGGTGGAGGAGGGGGCAAGTAAAAGGCTACCTCTGACATGCAATCGTGCTCCAAAAAAGGTAAGGTAAGGGGCAGTGCCTCGGCCAAAAAAGTGCCAGGGAAAGTAAAGGGGGTGCGTTTGCAGCCACTGTATTACCTCAGTTTTTCAAGAGAGGCTGTCACACACGGCTCCTTACGGTGCTGCTCTTGCTCTGCTCGCTTTACCTTACTTTTCTCGTCCCCTGACAACTTTAACGTTGCTTTGTGGCGGTACATTTTTTTGTGGACGGGGACGCCGGGGGCGGCGGCAGGCGGGTTGGAGCCCCTGTCGGCAGCGCCCGCCCGCGACGAGGACGAAGTCGACCCCGGTACGAAATTCAACCGGCCGCCAGCCGGATCGGCGGGCGACACCTTGCTGGGATTCTTGCTCGAGGCCTTGGCTGTCGACCGCCGTGTCTTGGCGGGCGCCGACACCGCCGGGGTCGCCATGGTTGTCACCGCCGCCGCTGGGCAGCTGGGTTTCCTCTTGACCTCGGACGGCGTGCCGGCCAGGATGTTGAGCGTTTTCCACTTGAGACTGTTGGCCTCGAGCGAGTGGCAAGCGCCCGGTGCCGAGGCGGCCGGGGAGACGCCGTGCTCCCACACCGGCTCGATGGACGCCATCATGAAGCGCTGCACCTCGGCCATCCCCGAGGCGATGTTGGACAGGATGTTGCTGGGCTCCTCGAACTCCCGCTGGTCGTCGAGCAGCAGCTGGGGGCCGGGAACGCCGTGCTCCGACCAGCCGGGGCCGCTCTTTTTACTCGAGGACCAGCCGCCGCCGCCGTTCTGCTGCCTTTTACCCCGACCCGGGGGCGACACGTGCAGCGACTGCGACTCGCCGTTCGCGGTCTCCGAGGCGGTCTTCCCTTCCTCTGCGGACAAGAAATCGCTCCTCTTGCCGTGCGCCGGCCGTTTCCCGCCTTTGGGCGCCGCGTGAGCGTCACTCCTGCCGCCGCCGCCGCCGCCATTTTTCTCCGCTCCTTTACCGGCCCCTTTCGGCTTCCTGCTCTTCTTGGCGGCTTTGGGGGCCGGGTTGGCGGTGCCGGCAGCGTGCCGACCGGAGCCGCCTTTTTTCCTCCCCTTCGGGCCCTTCGCCGGTGCCGGTGAAACCGGGTCCGCCGCCTTCCCGAAGATCGCTATCCCCTCGCCCACCAACTCGCCGGGGTCTTCGTCGTCGAACGTGTGGAACTGAAAGTGATCGCCGTTCAGCAGGAACCGGCCCGCCGCGGGTCGCCCGTCACCGCCGAACGCTTTCCTGGGGTCGCCCGGGGCGCAGGCCTCCTCCTCCTCCTCCTCCGCCGCCGCCACCACCACCGTCACGCCGGGCGACAGGTCGGGCGTGAGGGGCGGAGAGAACTCGGACAGCGAGGCCTGGCGGAAGCGGTCGGGGGTGAAGTTGGAGATGTCCAGCAGGTCGGCCGATTCCTTCAGCGGCGCCGCCTCGTCCACGCTCTGCGGGATGACCAGCTTGGGGCTGCAGTGCGCCAGGAAGTCCTCGCCCATGTCCTCCTCGCCGTCGTCCTCGCGCGGCGGCTTCAGGCTCAGCGAGGCGAAGCCGATCAGCCCTCCGTCGCCGGTGGCCTCCGCCGCCGCCGCCGTCGTCGTCTTCTTCGGGAGCCGCCATGGCGTCCCCCGCGGCCAGCCCGAAACCACCGTCAACCGGGAGGTAATCGGCGCCCGGCGGCAGCGAGTAAGTCTTGCTCAGCTCGTCGTCGTCGTCCACCTCCACGCCCCGCCGACGACGACGACTTCCATCCCCATCGCCCGGTAACCACCGCCGGCTTCCTGAGGCACCGGCGCCCCCAGGTCGGGGGGTTTGACGCACCACAGCTTCTGGAAGCTTCCGTCCGCCCCCTCGTGCCGCTCGAGCTCCGTGGGCGGCGGCGGCGCTGACGTCATGACGCACGCCTGCCCGAGGCGCGAAGCAGCGAAGGCCTCGTGGGCCTTGGGGACGGCCATGGCGGTTGGAGGAAGAGGAGGAGGAGGAGGACGGTGGTGGTTTTGGTCGGGGAAGTAAGCGATGCCGGCGGGGCCGATGGAGTCGGACGAATCGAGCAGCGTCTGCAGGTAACCCCCGGGGATCACGCGAACCGTCGTCGCAGCCGCAGCCCCGCCGGTAGTACAAGATGGCGGAGGCTTGTGAGAACAGCAGGCGGCCGGGTGGAAAGCACAACTCTCAGCCGCCGCCGCCTCCTCCTCCTCCGCCTGGCGGCACGGTTCAGACACACGGGTGCCGGCGGCGTCGGCCCGGAGGCTGCCCGGGCTCCTTGCGCCCGACGCCATCTCGCTCGCGTCCGTCACCCCCTCGCCGCCACCTTCGCTGGCCGCCATTTTATTCCTCTTCCCGCCGCCCTTCGGCTTCACCCGCCCGAGCGGCCGGCTCCTCTCCTTCGCTCTGCCCTCGCCCTTCCCGCGGTACGTGCTCCTCGCCGGCGGGCTCCCGGGCGAGGAGGAGGCGGCTGAGGGCAGGCCGTCGAGGCAGCCGCCGGGGATCCTGGTCCCGGCCGTCGCCGACGCCGACGCCGCCCGGTCTTCCTCCTCGTCACCCTCCGCCTCCACCCGTTTCGGCCCCCGCGGCCGTGGTCGCCGCCGCCGGGCGCCCGCCGCGTGGAAGGAGCAGGCGACGCGCTCGCTGGGCGCCAGCTGCAGGCGGACCCGGCGGCTCCTGTGCCGGTCGGCGATCTGCTTGCTTTTCCTCTTGGCCGGGTGGGAAGGGAAGTCGCCGGACTCGGCGCCGCCCGCGCGCAGCCGCCGCCGCCGCCGCCTCTCACCGGACGCCAGCGCCCGTTCCCGCTGCCGCTGGCGCCAGAATTCCTTGAGGGGCGCCAGCCTCCGGTACCGGCGCAAGGCGTCGTCGGTCAGGCGCACGCTGTCCCGGGCCGCGTCCACTTTGCCCACCTTCACCCGCATGTCCTTCTGCCCCTTGAAGCGGTTGATGATGATGTACTTGATGATGACCGGCGGCTCCCGCCGCGCCGACTTGCGGCGCTTCCTCGGGCACCACTCGTCGTCGTCCTCCTCTTCCCCCGCCGGCTTCTCCTCCTCCCCCTCCTCCCCCCCCGGCCCGCCGTCTGCCGGCCATTCCTCCTTCTTGCCCGCCGTCCTCTCGCCCTGGTCCAACGAGTCCACGTCGTACAGGTAGTCATCGCTGTAGCGCACCTTCCTCTTGGCACGGAGGGCGTAGTTGGGCCGCCCCGAGCCCGCCGCCGCCGCCGCCCCCCCCCACCACCCCCTCCCCCTCCGTTTGCCCCGGAGACGTGCTCGCGCCCTCCCGCCGCCTTCACCGTCTCGTACGACGACTCGGTGCCGTAGCTGTCGTCGCTGAACTCCCCGGAGTCGTCCGCCGAGCGACCGGGTTCGAGGAAGTGGCTCCTCTTGGCGGGAGAGGCGAGCGCCTTCGCGTTCGCGTCGCCAGCCCTCTCGCCGGTGTCTTCCCAAGCGTCCGCCTCGTCCGGTTTGGGCGGCGGGGGTTGGGGGGCCTCGGAGCCCCTCTTGGCCGCGGCCGGGCTCTTGCCGTCTTTCTTGGCGGCGCAGCTGGCGATGACGTTGGGGAAGAAGTTGAACTGCGCCTCTTCCTGGAGGGCGTTGCTCTTCTCCCTCACGTTGTCCTGGAAGGACTCGTACCTGATCTTCAGCGAGCACACGTCGCTGCTCAGGGTCGACTCGTCGTCGAACATGTAGTTGTCCACCTCCTCCTCGGCGAAGAGGTTGACCGACAGCTCGTTCTTGGAGCACAGGTCAAGCAGCTCGATCTTGCTCTCGCTGATGAAAGACTCGAAGTAAGCCCAGTCCTGGCTCGGATTCGCCAGCAGAGCCTCCTCCCCGTTGCATTTGTCCAGCAGTAATCCCTCGTAGTAATGTTTCTGAGCGATATCCTCTGACTCGCTGTCAGATTTCTCCACGTCTCTTTTGTCTGTAGTCCTTGATTTGTGCACGGTAAAACTCAATAGCTGGTCGGAGAGCAGCTGATCGCCGTATCGTCCGCCGTCCCCGGTGCTCATGCCTATATCTGAAACAGAGCAGGTTTCGCAGTCCCTGTTCATGTCACCTATTTTCATGCTTATCCCAGGCTCTGCATCGACGCTTTCTTTCGACTCAATGAAGCAGCCCAAACAGGTTCTGCTCTGTTGCATCAAACAATCGCCGGCCAGAGATGAAATGCCTTTGGGCTCCATGTACGTGAATGGAGCTTTGTCGAAATCCTCTGGGACAGACAAATAACTGGCACCCTTTGTAATACAAGATGTAAGGGAAATGGCGTGAGCAGAGGAATCATTTGAAGTGTGCTCAGACACATCGGCGAGTCTCAGCGGGGAGGGAGGGTCCAGCACGCAGGAGTCTTTTGGTGTCGGTACCGGCGGCGGCGGCGGCACCCTGTGCCCCGGCTCGCTCTCCTTTTGTGAAGTGGCCGAGGGCAACCCAACCACAGGGTCCACCCCGCCATAAGGCTTCACGGTGCTCCCTGTGCCGCATGGTTCTACGTGGGGGAGAAGAGGGGGTAGGGGGAGGAGGAGGGGAGAAGAAAGTTAAAACTATTTCAAAAGCTAACCTTGGCCTTTTTGCAAACAAACTTTCTTCCTACAAAAAAATTAGTAATAAATAATTCTTGCATTTGATGCAGCGCCTGGTCACGACCGAAGGATGCCTCAAAAGTCCTCACTTGCCTAGAAATCGCTTCAGGTTCTACAGCCTCCCTTTCCCATCTCTGAAAGATGCCATAGGCTGTTGCATTCATCCACAAAACACATTTGTTGCACCTTACCGTATATCTTATGAAGCGCTTTGGGGCATCCGATGCGGAAGTTGCTATACTAAATGTAAGGATGATTATTATTATAATTTAAAAATACTGCTTCAACCATGATTAAGCATCACTTTCTGTATTANCCCCCTTCCTCCACCCCCAAAACGCTTCGAGATGTTCTTCTACATAAGGGGTGCTGTATAAATGCAAGTTGTTGTTGCTTGTTACATACATTTGCTCTGGATTTCTAATTCTCCTTCACGAGCAGACACCAAAAGTATGAGAGAGAATAAAAAACATCAGCTCCAACGCCTTTCGCCATAAAACAGAACAGATTCCTGATCAGCTAAGACCCAACTCTCATGAAAGATAAAAGCCATTAAGGGCCAGTTAAACAGCAATGGTACATCTCAATCCTTTGCTCGGTTCTCTTTGAAATGATGGCTTTAAAGTGCCACGATTTGTATGCAGTGCACACCATCCACAGTCTTACTTAACCACGCTGTTCGAGGTTCATTCCGCTCTGTGCGCTCAATGTCACATTTCCTTTGATGAAGGCTAAGCGCCATCATGCTACGTTCGTTAAGTTTGGTGTTTTTTTTTGTCCCCATGTGCTTATAAATAATTAGAGTGTAATTTCATCTGCATCATTTAATTCCCATTTATTTATTTTTATTTTTCTGCTGTCACTCTAATAATTTCACTGTGCTCCTCTTGGGAAAGGCAGTGGAATTTTTTTTCCTTTGAAATCGTGCCCCCAGCCCAACTGCCTCTCTCCCCCACACCTCCCCTGCGTCACTCAACCCCCCCCCACCATCAACCGACTCCATCACCCCCAATTTTCCACCCTGCACCCTTTTAACTTGGGGTGGAATTGGGATGACATTACAGAGTGAATTCAGTGGAGGACGAAGGGGGAGAGGAGAATCAGTTACCACACTGTATTTAAATATAAGTGTATAGGTCCGTGTGCGCATTCAGCTATTTCTCAGTGACAATGGGTCTAAAATTTCAGGACGGACTTGTGGGCCGTAGACTGTACAGGTAATCTCTGTCAATGGTGGTTAATTAAGTAATTAAGGGACCTGAGCATGTTCAGCCCGTAGGTTATTAGCCCATTATTATATTATTATAACACAGTTTGTTTAAGCCCATTAATTCCCCTTACAAAACAAAAAGTGTGAAAATTCAAATTGCTTTTGTGAGATTTTATCTTTCTCCGCAGTGGCGACACGCACACCACAAATTCAATTTTCTCATTTCAAAAACAAATATTGTATGCGTTGGTGGCAGTGATCAGTGGCTTACCCTCGTCATCAACCCCATTAGGTTCCACGGTACTTTGGTCCTGGTCCTGTGCATCCAAGTCTTTTTTTTGTTGGTCATCCATCAATTGCGCCTGCTAGTCTTCATTCCACAACTTACTGGTCCCATCCGCTCTGCAAGTGCATTGAATAGTCCATTTTACAAAATACACATTTTAAGAGCCACACAACAGGAGCAGCTGCTTCAAGAGGAGCAGGAGAGAATATCCCAGGCACTAAACCATGACGCCTTTTGAGCTAAATAATTCTGCCCCCAAACACATTCCTTACATACCATGAGCTCATTCTCTGCAGCAATTAATAATAATAATAATCCTTGCATTTGATATAGCGCTTTTCACGTCGGGAGGAAGTCCCAAAGCGCTTCACAGAATACACTGTAAAGTGAATTGACTGTATATTTTGCTTGGATTTAAGACTTTATTGGGGGTGGGGGGGCAGGAGAGAGATGGGGAGGGCACAGGTTAATAATTGTATTGTCATGAAAAAAATACGAGTGTAATTACTGCCACTCTACTTCCAGCACACGTGAATAAACGTATAATTGAACCTTTCTTTCTCAAACCACACGTGTGCCTACCTACCTGTTTGCCATAGCATTTGTGAAACGAATTGGCCACTCAAGCCCAGCTGAACAAAATCAGCATTTCCCTCTCTCTCTCTCTCTCATTGCCGTTTTTCAGTGTCATATTCTTCGCAAATAAATTCTTTGTTTGGGTGTCGGCGTCGTGCTCCGCCACTGTCAAGCGCTCTGGGATGCTACCCTGAGTGCAAGTTGTTATTCTAGCGCTGTGCCAAGTCACCTGATCCCTGTGGGCTCAGCAGCAGAGGATTTCCTAAGTTGGCTTCAACAGCACTGAGGTAAAGAGAGATAAAAGCACCCATGGCTGTGCCTGTTCAGGTGGACAACAACAACAACAACAACATTACATTTCTTTAGCCCCTTTCACATCGAGAGGACGTCCCAAGGTGCTGGACGGACAGAATTCAGACAGGAGCTGGGGTCGGGATCGGGGAGGGTNGGGGGGGGGGAAAGCAGGGTGATCGAAAGCACGGTCGAAAAGGAAGTTCTTGAAGGAGGTAAGGGAGGGACTGCGGGATGGTGTGCGAGGCGGAGGGACTGTGGGAGGGTGGGGGCAGAGTAACAGAAGGCCCGCCCGCTATGTTAACTATCATGGGACTATTCCATAAGTAGGAGGAGTTTCTCCAGGGATCCTGGCCAAAAACCCTCCAGATATTTGAGACATTCCCTTGTGCAAATGTGATGCCAAGTTTGCCTAAAGTCACTCCATTTTACTGTAAAATCCTGTGAAGCACTTTGAGATATCAACAACAACAACAACAAGATTCCATTTATAGAGCACCTTTCACGTCGGGAGGACGATCCCACGTCCCAATCCTCCCAACATGAAAAGTGCTATATCAAATACGAGGATCATTATAATAATAAATTAGCCATCTTCTTCATGGCTGTCTGCAAGGCTGGTCACTACATTCGATGCCAATGACCTGTAAAACACTTGCAAGATGTTTCATCATGAGCACTGAACGCCGCTATAAATTTAGAGACTTCAAACCAAAAGACATCTTCCTCATCGGGGAAAAGAAACTCCTTTATAATAAAGTGAAGCAAGAATCTACTGGCACGAGTTTAGCACTTCATCTCTGTCAGAAGAGCAGACTGCATTCAGACACTAATTACCTGCATTAACATCGGTTGCCCACACTTCTGCTTTCACACATTAGGCTGGTGCTGACCTGGGGAACCTGCCCGGGAACCTGCCCCTGAACCTTTGCATGGTAACACACGGGCAGTGTTCAGACTGGGATTATGTCACGCCTCCCGTTGGCAAAGACAAATGAGATACTGATGTGAGCCAGTTTTATCCAGCACCTGCCAGGTTGGATTAGCGCACAGGGAGGAAAAAACACTCTACAGAAACAGCAGCTTATAGAATTTAGTTTTAATTTTTTTCCCCCCACAATTCCTTTCGTAAGATTCCATGCCCTTCGCTTGCAAGTTGTATGCCTGATTCCCCCCGCTCAAAAAAAAGCATGCAGACTGAGACCAACAAACAACAGTGGGGACGAGACGGAAAGACATTCTAGAAATTACTTTTGGGGTCTCTGCTTCTTTGGAAGATAAGTGGGGGGAAACAAAGTGGGGTACAGGAACAGCCTGTTCCATAGATCCTTTACAAGCTTTTCTCCATACTTCTGTAGGCCCTTAATTCTCAGGCAACTACCTTCCTTTATTATTAATGATAATAATCCTTGCATTTACGAAAGTGCCTTATTAAGTTGTCGAGACATCTCAAATAGAATATGGTGTGAAGTAGATTGACTGCATATTTTGTGAACAAAATGCGGCAGTCATTTTGCACACTTCATTGTCTCACAAACATCCACGGAGTAACCAATTTAATTTGGAGGATTGTTGTCCAGGACACTAGAAGAAACTCCTCTTTTTGAATGGTGCCATGGGATCTTTAACATCCACCTGAACAGGCAGACAGCGGCTTCGGTTTAACTTCTCATCCAAAGGATGTACCTCCAACAATGCAACACCCCTCCAGCATGGGATTGGAGTGTCAGCTTAGACTATGTGATTCCAATTTAGGGCTTGAACACACAACCTTCAGACTCCCAGAGGCGAGAGTGCTACCACTGATCCAGGCTGACACAATAATAATACAAGAATACATTTGTGTAGAGGCTTTCACGTAATAAAGTATTCACATTTAATTTAGTAATCAGTAGCCACATCATCTACAATTTCTTAAGGCCTTCAGGGCAGAGGGTGTTAAACAACAATGACTTGCCAAAGGGGTTGATTTATTCACCTTCCTTTGGCCCCTCCAACCACAGGTACCTAAGATCACAATGACCTTGTATTCTTGTGACACAGTGCAAGTGTCATCCCAACATCCGTACTCATGAGTACTGTACAAAGCAGCTTAAACACAAAAATTACAACCTGGTCAAGTAGTATTGGACCTGAAACTCTTCTTCATCTGTTCTGACTTTTTTTAAAAAATTGGGCTCTCATTTATTGCAATATTTATGTAACCGTACATCAATGCCTAAAAACTCTACCTTGAATATGCACTGTGTGTCCTTTTCAAGAGCTGTAGCAAACTGGCTACTAAAGTTACCAAAATTGTATAGAATGTGAAATTTTTAAATAATAAATTATAATAATAATAATCCTTACATTTGATATAGCGCTTTTCACGTCTTCTAGACGTCCCAAAGCGCTTCACAGGATATACTGTAAAGTGAATTGACTGTATATTTGTGGGCGAATCACTGTTTTACTCTCTTCCACTTGTTTTTTCACTCGATATAAACTTCCTGTCGTCTGTTCTGATATTGTCCTTTGCAATGCTAAACCTATGTCCTTTTTTTTACTATCTCAGTCCATCCTAAAGTATTGATCTGGGTTTACCTTTTTAAGCCCATTTAAAATGTTATCCACTTCTTTGAGATCCTCTTTGGGTCGTTCACTCTTAAGACTTTCTTTGAAATAGTAGTAGAACTTTCAAGAAGTGTCAACTGTGGCGGTGGTGGTGGTTGGGGTGTGGGGGGAAATAACAAGAAAGGTCTCGGGAGGAATTTGAAGCGAGCCGTGAAAAGTAAGAGCCAACCTGCAGATAGCAGGTTAAAAATTAAGACTCGGAGGAGTCCAACGGAATGAGTAAAACCCAATTAAAAGCTGTTGGCTCTGGCAAGTTGGGTCAGGAAAATTAATGATGAAGGGGAGAGGGTGCTGCGAATTATGGAGGAGGAGAGAATATTTGACCTGAAGAATAATCATGGTGACAGGGATTGCATTAGAAAACACCAGGTGTTTTTTTGAGCGGGTGATATGAACTACAGGAGACCCAGGCAGAAGTTAGAAGTGTTCACTAACAGGAATTAAAATCATTCTGACCGAGAATGCGCTCACTTTGTTGCTCCCGGGAGTACTGCTGAAAGGGAAGAGTGGCCTGATGAATTTGTTCTTCAACCTGGGCCGATTCGGCCTGGGCCTTCCTCCCGCCGCCCCCCAAGTTAGTCCATTGGCGGAAACGGCACTGAATTGATGGAAGGAAACGCAGCTCGAGTCTTCTTGCGTAACCACAAAGCCGATTTGCTGGAAGCTACCCATCCACCACTGCAGTCTGAGTCAATCTTCTGCCTGGAAATGGCCCTCGAAAAAGGTGCTCGGAGTGATTCACTGAAGAACCTAAGGTCTCAAAGCACTTCACAGGATTTTACTATGAAGTGTATTTTGTTGGTGAATACGGCAGCCAATTTGCACATAGCAATTTCCTGGGGGGTGGGGGAAGGAAGGTGATTGTTGGCAAGGTTTGGTAATTCAGGAACAAGGAGTGACAAAGCTGCACTTGTGGAGTACATGTGTAGTAGCACAGGTTGGGTTGGACCAGCTGTTAATAGTTCCAGTGCCAAATATAAGTGGGCAAAGCATTCAGAGGAACATGTTGTCCCAGCAACTGAGATATAACCTTAGGTAACCATAGTGTCCATCAACCAGTTAAGTGCATGTTCAAAGTACTAATATTAGCGATAGCGTGCATCAGAACGGTCCAACCTTTTGGCTGCTGAGGGCCGGAAACTGGATTTGACAAATGCCCGCAGGCAGCATAAGCAATCTTTTTGTGTTTCCATTTCCAGAAACACAACCCGTAAGAATCTTATAGAAATCCTGTGTTTTAAAGTGTGTAACGATATACCTTCATTTCCCTATATTTTAGTTGCAAATTTCAAATAGGCAATGTAAAAAAAATTCATACAAATTTTAAAACGATAACACACTTACCAATAAAGTACATACAAGAAACATTAAATCCAGAGTAAATAATGAGTGTGAAAGAAGTAATTAAGTGAATTAGAATGCACCTAATTTAATAGCCCTAACAATAAACAAAATGATGATAACACTGTGAAAAATGAACCAGAGCTCAAATGCCCTCTATTTTCCACATCTAACTTGTGTTTCTTATTGAGATTCATAGTTTTGTAGTTTTAGAATTGCAAAATATGTAAAAATATCTTTTTAAAATACTCCTGCTGCGTTTCTCTTCCTGTCACTCTCCACGCTATCTCTCACA